ACAATTAATAGAATACATCAATTTAACAGGCACATTTAAAAGGGAAAAATACTCAGCTTATATGCTGCAAGTAGTTCCCGACGCTTGCTGAAGTCCACACGCGTAGATCCCGCGGAAATCCGTGTGGCACGTGGAGATAGATGCGCAGTAACCGCGTTGCACGTAGATCGTAGTATTCTGCTGGCACTTTTTCTTCATTTTTCGGGCTGAAATGTCGATGCTCCAGACGGCAGCAAACGATGTCTCTCGCCTCCTCATCTTCTGTTTAGATGTCTCCCTTGCGCGAATCACGTGGAGGGTGCGTCATGATGTATAGTGTCGATCGTTGCGCATATTATAAGGTCGCTTAGTGCTGGCCGTTGATGCACTGAAAGCGTTGCGCTGTGATTATCCAATATAGCCCGCACGTTTTATTACGTAGATGCGCTGAAGTAGATGCTGGGTCTTGTATTTGGTGTAGCCGTGGTAGTCTTCGTCGCCGAATTCTTCTCGTAGACCGTGTCGAAGTCCGGTGCTGAAATTGTAGAAGTAGTAGATGCTGGAGAGCTTTAAATCTTCGGAAACTTCCCCTACACAGTATTCTGTGCAGTAACTGATCTGTATAGTCACTCGATAATAACTTTCCTAACTGCTCGGTGCGCCACTGAAACAGGTTACGACTTGGTAGTAGACGATGCGATATAGAATCATATTTAAGTATGTCCTGAGGGTGGCTCGTATGTAGCGGGATCCGAGGATTTGGAGGAACAGCGTAAACGATTATATAATATACTTTTAGGATAATAGTTCGGTTTACAGTTTAGGATAATCAGATTATAAGTTGGAGCTTTAAAACTGATGTCTTCGGCGTCCAGTTGAAGTATGGATAAGTCTAGAGTGTATCTTCTATTCCGACGGTAATTTAGGGTTACTGTCCTGGGCCTATACTTTCAAAAAAAAAAAAGTTAAGAGATCGTAAGTTCATCAGCCAATCATTGACGGCCTTTCAAGCAAAATCCACCAATCATAAACAAGAAAATAGAGCGTAAGTACTTACGTTCACTTAGCGAATTTTGAAAGTATAGGCCCTGATTGTTTTGGACAGGAGTATGGGGGGCGTGACTTGATAAACAGGAAAGGCTAATACAAGGATATGCTCATGAACATATTGCATTGAAGGAGATCATCTTTCAATAAGGAAGACACCAATGAGGAAATATCCAGGGACGAATGGTACCAACATTGTCCCCTGACACAATTATGGACGAGATTTTACAAAATTTGATATATTAATTTTTTAGAAAAAAAAATTAGTTTGACACTTTTAACACGTGTTCGACACTTAATATTGTCCAATACTAATTATTGGCACTTTTAACACATGTTTGACGACACTCATGACATTCGTTGACGAATTCCAATATTTGTGACGTCACAGTGAAGATGCGCAAAACGGTACCAAAATTTCTCGAAGCATGGGTCAACCTTATAGTTCAACCATGGGAGAAGCGGCGTGAAAACCATCTCAATTCATCAGATCCACGCTCTCTCAGACGCGAAGCAGCGGCCGTCTCTTGTGGTGCTTTAAGAGATATTTTACGATCCAGCCAGATATACTTGTGACTTGATAGCACTTTTGGACGACGATAATTTAGAGATAAACAGTTGCACGGAAATTATTGAAGCATGTTCTTTAATTCGGTCTCTCAGTATAAAATCCAGTCTATACGATGAACACTGAACACTGAAACAGTCACATTTATTGAACAGGTACTCTGCTTATTATTACGAATATTTTTTTAAATTTTCAGATCGTTTCAATCGAGGATTATTGATTTTGGTCAAAATAAGAGCAGGAATTATATGCTTATCCATCACCAATCGAATTCTTTATATCGAATTTGTGCGGGCAATTTCAATACCGGAATACTACTAAACCTAAAGCTATTCTAAAACTTGAGATGATATTCCTTCAACATAAAAGTTGATTTTGAATGCAAGTAAATGACAGCGCAATATGTAAAAAGTCGACAGAAAATAATACATCCAATCAAAAGTAGTTAACTTAGGAGTTCACTTGAGTTACGATATAATTACTCTTCGCTACCTTATACTTCTTCTCAGCTTGATTTTTTGATTGATATTACTCCAAATGTATATGTTCAATCAGTCTAGCATGGCAATGAGAAAAAATTAGAATAAAAATAAACGAAAACGGCGACCATTATTCTAAGATACAGTCCAAATCTCAAATCATTGTCTCTAACAATCAAGTGTCATGAATATGCGATGTTACGTTAGGTCTAGGCTGCGCAAGTAAAATACAATGACAGTCAAGCTTTCTACTGATGAAGTGTTCAATCGATCGCGTGTTAAGTCAAACACTGTGTCACTGTAATCAAGTTTACACTATTGCCCCTGACAATCTTCTCCGATCGGGTCTCCATTTCTCAACGCAGAAGATGTAGGTAATGAAATTGTGATGTTTATCTTGAGCACCAAGATTGAGCGTTTATGTCGCTCCTGTAACAATTTTCTCGGTCTGCACGCCTCATTTATTAATTATTGCTGGTCCCTCTGGCCGCAGAGCGTCGGTAATATGCAGATCGACGAACGTCCTGCTGAAACAAGACAGAGTTTAACAGCCGTACTTGCCTGGAGTTTTGTATTGTTTTTCTGTGAGTAAATTGGCTAATGCAACTGATTAACAATTTAAAGGTTTTTAATAATAAGCAGAATTTTAAATTAAATCTTCTATATATATTCTCCTGGTTAATTTATTATCGGCGTGTAGCTATCCCAGCAATAACGAAATGCTATCTTTCTCACGTTCGACAACCCTGTAGGGATATTAAAATAACGCCAAATCTCTGTTTACTCACCCTCTAATCTCGGCCAGCGTGTCGCCTTCGTGTTCCGTTCTGATGTGCTGTTCATGCAACTCAACCAGCAAACGCTTTAATTCCTCTTCTTTAAGATGTGAGTACCGCAGCTTCAGCTCAGCAAACCTAGGCACACGCACTTCATAGTTATTCTACCATATATAGACAAACTTAAACTTGAAATTTTTCAGCGTAACGAACGCAATGAACAAACTTCAAGGCTTCCGATAAACGTTGTGCCGCTACCTAATCACAGAAACCTGAATGCTCACGTTAAAAAAAAAGAAAAAGAGAGAGAAATAGGAAACACGGACGCACAAGCGTTCCCTCTTTTCTACTACATTTAAACATAACTTGTGTGACACCAATCTTCACCGATCAGCTCTAAATCTCAATAAATTTAGCTGCCTAATTTTCTAGGGGGAAAACGTTTGAAGGTGTTGTCTAGTTTGTTTGAGAGTTTGGACTTATTATTAGACTGTGGAATTCCAGCACTTATTTTTTTGGCGCTGCGTTGAATTAACATGCAGGCTAAAATCCAATTGGCAAAAATTTCACAACGCATACTGTTTTACTTTCATCATCAAAGTTATATGCAATTTTTTCAGCCTGAGTACTCAGAAAGAACAAAAAAGCCGTCCATGCAGGTTATGGGAACTTCTAACTTTCGGCCAGGAGGTGCATGGGTGATGATTGTATGAGCGATGGTCTCCCAGGTCCCATCAGCTCCCACATCCACCCACAGCTCTGGGGGAGGCGTAGCCGGCAGCACCCGCGTGGGAGTGATGGGAGAAGTGGTCGAGAGTGAACGCGTGTACACACCTGCTCGGGAAAATGTAAAACACTATGAACAGCATGGAACTGGAATGAGTTCTGAAACTAAAAACTGTATCACACATGCGTGGAACCTTCTAAACTCCTGCATATGGCTGTGAAATGTCCCATATATGAAAAATAAAAACTGAACGTAAGACTTGGTAGCTGATTCATCACTGAATGTTCAAATGCCGTTAACTATCGGTTAACAAATGGAATTTCCAAGAGTGCAAGAGGAACCCAAAAATATCAACTCTTAAGTTGGTTTCTAATATGTTTGCGTTACGTCCGCTGGACACGCGAACACAAATTGAGGTTGATACAAATGCTTATATCAGATTTGTACAAATGGTATAGCCTTACTGAGTTCCACGTATTTATCACTGAGGGCGCTGAGGTCCAGAGGCTTCGCCATATGAACGACGAGAAAAGCATCATCCACCACCGAGGCAAGGGTGGCCACTCCATCAGGGGTTCCCACGCACCCGACGAAGTGAACCAGTCTCATCCTTAAACATCAGTAAATTTTAGGCGTTTTTATTGATCACATGACGTTTTAATATTATTTATTATCGAGGTACGAGAACATTAGAGCAGATCCAAGTTTAAAAAAATTGCAACCATTCATATGAATTTATTGAATTTAACTAGTAGAAAAGATGGGTTATGGACCTGCACAAGTCATTGTGAAAATGGTCTCCTCTGTTTCCAAACTATTCTGAAACTAAACTGCTAAGTATAATACTGCTGACGCGTTTCATCACTTGGTGTCTGCTATTTCCACTGGATTAGCTAGTCTGCTTCTGAGAAAATTTCTTGCAGTTAATGACGTTTTTTTACTAGCGATGCAGTTCAGATGAAATTTCAGAAAATAATACTCATTGTTGATTAATCAAGAAGGGAGAATTACCGGCCGAACAAATTAAGTTATCGTAGACTGATGAAAAATGCACGTTTTCGACAGATATGAAAGCTGCCATGAAATCTGTTTATTTCGATTCACATCAATCGATATAGATAGACCTTGCGGAGTAAATTCTTTTTACATGACCTGGAGGCTCAGAGCTCACTTTTCAGAATGTTCCACAATTCATTCACATTCGTCATATCTACCTGATCATGGTAAGCTCTGTACGATGGATTTTGTTAATGTTATTATTCATCAAACATAGTAAGTTTGAATAAATTTTTCACAGTGTAGTAAAAACAAAGTCTCACCGGCGCTCAGTTGTTCCTCGGTAGACCGTACAGATTTATATTTTTGCGTTGCATTATTTTACGTAATATTATCCAAGAGACCAACCTTGACTTCTGGTTGAACCTTTAGAACTTTAGCTTATTAAGTGTTGACCTAGTGTGAGAGTGTTCATACCTTGTGCCAAGCATTGGCAGGAGGAGGTCGTCGTTGCTCTTGTATTTATCACCGTCGGGGTTCTGCAGCACAAGATGGACGGGCCCAACGCGACGCTCCACAAGTTCTGCCCACCGCGCCTTGCTTGGGTCGTCAGGTTTGATCTCCACTTCCAGGACTCTAGGTTGTGCATGTGGCAACATGGCTGCAACAGCCGATACTTCGCGTCCTGCGGGCATGAACATATTTTGAAATTTTAATTTTGTAAGCTGAACAAAAAGAAGATTCAGAGCATTTACTCCTAACTGAAAATGAAGTTTCGCCAACAGATCACGGTTTGTGTGAAAAAAATCCAATTGTCACCATATTTTTCTTATGATTTCAATGTGTAGCTGAAGACGGTAGGTAAAAATGCGAGCAATGATTGTTGCAGTTATCAGTTTAAATATCTTCAAATGGAATTACAAAACTTGATTATTCCAATAACGACTTGATTACATACAAAGACTATACCAACCTGTTCCGACATGCCACGTCTTGTTTTCTCTGAGTTTGGTCAGAGCGGCAAGCTTGGCCACCTGCTCAACGTCTGGGCAGATACGGAGACACTCCTGCCAGTCGGCGGCAGAGACCACGCCGGCGTCACGCAGCGCCTTCTTCAGCTCTGGCCAGCGTCTGTTCAAGAGGCGAGGCTTGCAGCGGCTGAGGCCCTGCACCACGTACTGCAGTACTTCACGCAGGCTGGGAAAAAGCGTTCATGTAAAGGCTTTTAATGGTGAGTATCAAGAATTTACTGTCCATGACTGCCGCGCGAATATGACGGGGATTTTTGTTGAAATCGTTTACTCAAAGCGACTTGTACAAGTATTCCTCACCTGCTCATTTCCTCAGGCTCGGCCTCCAGGATACTCTTTAGGCTGTCGCCCTTTAAGATGCGCTGCACAATAAATTTAGCAGCAAACATTTCTTGGATAGTTTTGTGATGGAAAGTGTAGGTGATTTTTCCGATCCCAGAAAGAGGTCTGTTTATTTTCAGCACCACCGAGAGGACAATTTCAGAGCTACACTCCACCTTGTTATTCAGTATCGGGATGCAATTTTCTTTAACCTGAAGCAGTTCTTCTTCTGAGAAAGTTACAGTGTTTTCACGAATAAATTCCAACGCTGCTTTTCCAATGACAACAAACAGATCGTTCAAAATGACTTCGCATTCAAGATTAGTCACATCGGCAAGCTTTATGGTGACAAGCTTCTGATACAAGCGTAGAATATCAATCGCCACGTCCCCGGGCTTTTCCCACGACGAGATTGTCTCAGGCATGTGCTTATGTATGTCGCAGAAAAGAATCAAGTTGATGGGTTCGGTGAACAGAATTCTGACATCTTCGTTCAGCTCTGCGAAGTTTTCTGCCATCTCACCTTCTTTTATGCCTAAACTCTTCTCATACCTTTTCAAAAATTCCAGCTGCTCAACCAGCTCTGTGATCGGCTTGATCTCGAATTCGGTAGAAATGACATCGTTCGTAGCAAGAAGCATTTTCAGTTTCTCCTTCGCACTGTGAGGACGAGTCGTGATCAGTACCCGACAGTTGCTGCTTGACGTCTCCTTTATGATCTCTCTCACTACGTTGGTTGAAACTTTGTTTATTTCGTCGTACCCATCGATGACAAATAGGGCATCTAGACGTAAAAGGGCATCAAGGACATTTCGTTTACCCTCTAATTCCCTACACATATCCTTAAAGTGCTGCTCGATGACGTCAGCCAGTGTTTCAGTGGTACGATCCCTGCACTCGAACAGAATGAGCTGGTCAAATTGTCGCAAGTAATTAGCATTTCCTTCCTGTAGCTCGAAAAACTGAAGAACGATGTTTTTTAGAAGAGTAGTCTTGCCGGCACCAGCAACACCGGATACTATAATTGCCTTCTCAGGCACCTTGAAAATTTCGGGGTACGAAAGAACTTGACCGTTAGGGCCTTCTCTCACCATCATGTCGAGAGCATGAAATACTTCCCGACGCTGCACAATGCTGTTGTCTAGCGGTAGGGTCTCTTTGGATAGTTTGATCGTCCAGAGGCACTTCACGGCCGATTTTCCTGACATAGTCAATCTTGTACACCAGTAATAAATGCTCTTTTCGTCCGGAGTCTGCAGGCTTTTGAAGTCATCACGTAAATTTTTTTCTTGATCATCAACTTCAGACTGTGGCAGTGAATATACCGTTCAGGCTTCTTTAATCAGCTCTAAGAGCACAGTCTCCAAATAGCTGAATTTTTGAGGGGTCGATGTTTCTTCGAACTCGTGCATGATTTTGTTTCGCAATTCCTTGACCTCGCGCAACTTGTCGAGAAGTTTATCAAAGTTCCTCGGAAGGCCATTCTTATCTAAGCGAGGCAGATTTTCAAGTGGACACTCTGTATCTCCATGTGGAAGCTCCTCGTCATGCCTCTCATCTTCTGAATCGGGAAGTTCTACTCTCCGCCAGCACTCATCATGTATCCTAGAAAGTTTCTCCAGCAGGCAGAACAACCCAGTGATGTCTAAATTATCAGGGTGGCTCAAATCTTCCGAGATTATCCAGCCATGACGTTTCCATTCCGTTTTACTGAATTCCTTGCCCTTTAGGCGTTCCATGTATTTTTTGTAGCTCTCGTCGCTCTTTTTGTCGACACATTCTTTGCTTACAACGAATCGGATGACTTTGGGGGCCACGTACAACACACCAGCAATATTGCGGTAAATCGCGTAGATTTCATCAGATATATGTTCTCCGGCAGGCCTCAATCTGGCCTGCACTGACTGGCCGTCCATTACGCAGGATCTGTTGATTTGAAAGAATAGTAATAAATAATAAAAAAGAAGAAAGCGAAGTACTCATTATTATTTGAGAAGAAACTTTGACGCCTAAGGCTGAAATTTGATGATTATTGCCTTTTACGTTTCTTTGAGGTTTTGTTCGTTTCAAAAATTTACAGATCGAAGGTTATTTTAAATGTTATCATTGGGAAAATAATGTAGTTATCATTGGGAAAAATAAAATAATGGTATTAAATGTATAAAAACTCATATTAATTGAGAAATTACTTACGATAAATAACATAAAAATGAGATAGGAACGAATTGGAGAGAAAGATAACCTCATGAGCGATATGAGTGATTGACAACATAAGAGGAGATTTGATCTCCATCAGTTATGGTTACTTTTCCATCAAAGCTGAATGGTATGCTCCAGCTCAGTTCTTTGCAACAATTGTTTTATCTGAGTAATTTAATAAAAAAACTCGTTTTATGGTCCGATTACTGACTATAGACTTGAATTGTATTGCTCTTGGATTATATCGTTATATTGTCCGATTGCTCTTGGATGAATGAATTTTAATTGATGACTGAGAGACCAGACTTAAGCAAATGATAAAGATGTCTCGCATTCAACAAACGATAAATGCGATGGTAGATATGTCCTTTGTAGGTGTTGACAAATTGGTTTTCTTGTCTATGATGAGGAACCATATTTCTGGCTAATGATGAGTAGATATAATGCTTGGTGCAGCTTATACTGCGTTGCTTATGCTCTCTCTCGCTCTCGATGTAATTAAATGCATCATACGTAGTATCGCGAAGAATTTCTGAAAAGTTTTTCCGTCAAACAATTTGACTTAGGACCGAGTTTATCTAACTTTATTACCGAACTATCCCGTATAAATTCACGGTATTTGGCCGGCACCTTTAATAGAGACGGTCGGATACTTCGATTAACCCAAATATATTTCGATTCCACTATCCGATTCCTTATATCATCCACTAGGCTTCATGGCTCTTCAGCTCACATGATATGGTGGCTGAGTAATGGTGGTGGCTCTTAAATGACACATTTCTCCTGTTTGCTGTTGATAACTCACCATTAAATTGAGTTACCCACGAAAATGTATGTTTTAATTTCATATCAACTATTTTACTAATAAACGTTTACTTCTTGATGAATGAAGCCCAACGTGCCCTGTATCGCAGTGCATCGCAGTGCAAGACGTGTCTCAAGGCCAGTCTGCATCTGAAGTCCTTATGATAAGCGTGTCAGATAATGTCCAAATACAGCAAAGACTCCAAGCTAGTGTTAGAGCCCCGTCTAGCTCTTACCCGCTTGAAATTGTAAATAGGTAGGTTTTGCAGCTTAGGATTTTCGTTGTATTCTTGACTGTACTAATCACTGATTTATCTGTGTTCTAGAATTTTTGAACTGACGATGGAGCTGGACTCCGAAACGTTTTCTTTAAAGATACTATGTGAATTTTTGAGGTGTTTTCTTTGCTATTAAGTTTTTAGATAATTTGCGATTCAAGCAAACGAGTGATATTATTACTTATTTGCTCGCCAAGCCACTGATCGCAGCTATGCTAGTTTGCACTGAGTTAAGCGATGTGGATATTTGATTTGTAAGCGGCCAGGCGTGGCTGCGGCTTCTTAAGTTTCCGCCTACCAGAGCAGAGACAAGTTAATGAAAAAAACGTTGCATGAACAGCAAAAACAACCACGACTTAACGATTATAAACAGCTGAACATGTATACAAGGTTAGTTTGCGTCCAGAATACCGTAATATAGTTGAATAAATTGTATACGTGTCGGAGCATATGTTATTGCGATGGTTGATGGATGATGATGATGAATAAACGACAGCATCAGCATGCAGGAAGCTTGGTAGCAACCGAGAACAGATAAACAATGTGCCTCAAATGTTTTAAATGATTTAAATTCTTGGTCCTATTCTTGATTTAACTCCTGAGGTATGGCAGTTGGTTCTATTAGGGTCTGAAATCAAATAGAAAAGAACCCATTTTTTAACAGCGAGACGAGTTTTTTCACACAACTTTCTGGAGAGAGTCTGTTAGTGAGTTTTGGTGCATCTATCAGTGAATTAATTAGTTAGTTTAGTGGTCAAATTATTACTGGACCTTCAGCTTTTTTGCAATTTCGCACCTGGAGTCACGATGAACATCACCAAAGTGGTGGAAGGTCTCCATTAACGAAAGTTTCTCAAATCAAATATCGCTCATAACCCACATGGGGCGGAAGGTATTAAGTGGCCAGGCTGCCGAAGACTGCAAGAAAATATAAGTCAGTACTCAGTGCAGTGTGTGACAGAGAGCGCATTTTCTCGTCGACGAAAACGTGAAGTCACGGACGGACAGACAGACAGACGGACGGACGGACGGACAGACGTACATGGCGAGCACAATAGTGCATTTTTTTCCTAAATGAGCAAATACGCTAAAAGGCAGCGTTAGCATCTCAAAGAGGAATTGACAAGGAGGGACAGATGAAAACAACAGATAGGAAGACATTCGCATATGATGTCGCTTACTCGAAAAGTTTGCCCCCCGCATGAGAGATATGGAAATGTAAGGAATCCTGTATACACAACAAGTGAACTCCACAATTTAACTGTCTGCATTACAACTTGACCCTCCTGTGGTCTTCGTTTCCGGTATACGTCCTATGCCCTTTGGACATAGGGTTGAAAATGCAGGTCATATTAACCGAAGACTACAGGAGGGTTAACCCAACAACTGAGACCTGCAGTCACGCACCACGAGCCCTGTGGAGAGGTGCTCAGGAACTATGCCCCTAGGAACGCGATATCCCATAGGAATTCTGACGAGTACAGACACGCGTCAGAAAACCCTCCCTGAGGGGTAATTAGTGGATAAATTGATTTCGACCGTGAATTGAACGAGAGGATTTTTTCTGTTTTCGGAGTCGGGAATTACTGAATAAAGTTCGTGTCTGAGATTTTGGATCAATTGGGGGATTGACGGCTGAATAGCTGCAGCGTCGTCAGCCTTTTAAGATGCACTGAGCTTCCAAGGGCTAGAGAAGTCATGGTTGAATCAATACAAAATTGACAAACGCGCATCTCAGCCTAGCGAATGTATTGTTCCGTCTGTGGCGTCACACGTACATCAAAATGTAAATATTGCTCGTGAACTTTTTATTAAATAAAATGGCTCCTTTGAACTTACTTTATAAAAAATTCACAACTTAGAATCCGCTTTATAAGTGTTCACAATGTCAACCTTATTTGCTTAACACATTGTCGGTGTTAAAATGCAATTATTTTGTGCGGTTAATGAAATAAACAGAAAAGAAAAAGACCAACCGAGTGGACTGACTTCTCAAGGTTGTTAATATCGGACATTAGGCTGAACATCATAAAAAGTGCGTGCCCCTCTAAAATATCATGTTTTTGTCGAGCTATTACTCATGCAACACTCTGATGCTGGTTTCCGCTCAGTTTATAATTGATATAAAAAGTGCTTAATTGATATCAATGAAAAAGCTAATCCCATCATATTGATTAGAAAATTTAAAATGAAGTCATGGTTGAACTAATGCATTCATCCTTGCGAATGTATGGTTCCGCCTGTGACGTCACACGCACCTTAAAATGTGAATATTGCTCGTGAAATCTATTTAAAAATGGCATCTTTGAACTATTTTTATAAAGAATTTACTACTTCGAATCCTCTGGAAAAGTGTTTGCAGTATCAACTAATATTGGTTAACATATTACTGGTCTCAAAATGCAATTTTTCGTGCGGTAAGTGAAATAAATGGAAAATAAACTATCTACCGAGTGGAATGCCTTGTAATGGTCGTAGATGGCGTTCATGAGGCTGAACGTCATAAAAGTGAAGAGCCCCTCTAAAATATTACGTTTTTGTCAAGCTATTATTCATTCATCTCTGTGGTTTTTGCCCTTTTATTTTTTCACTCTGATGCTGGTTTACTGTAAAGTTTAGAATCGATATAAAATGGCCCCAGTTAAAAAACTAATCATATTTTATCGATTTAAAATTAAGAGTAGATGCATCAAATGGTAAAAACCACGAATAATATCAATCGAATAATATAATATCAATCCACTAACTCGACGAAAACGTAATTTTTTGGGGACGGTTTCCCCTATTTCAGATTTTCAAACGGATGATCAGAGGGGCAGCAACAACTAGCGAAGCACAAAGTTGATCGGTCAGCCCCAGAGATTTTATTTTCCATTTATTTATTTTCCATAATACAGAAGTAGTTTATTTCGCTGTTATGGTTAAGAACAAGAATTGTCGGTATTTATTTATGGTATGATATTCATGAGATTCACAAATCATACAACTGCCGTTGTGGGCATGGAATTGCTGATAAAACGGAGCGGCCGTTTAAAAGGGCTTTCGCTTTCCAAGTCTGAATAAATACAATCTTTAAATCAGGCAATATTTGATAAAAGTGCCGGCCCATATTATTTCATATTTCATATTATTTCATAACTGGCTGCAAGTAATGAAATAGATTCGTAAATGATTAAAAATAAAACATATTTATAAGAGCGCATCCACAATTGTTATCGGCTCTGGTAATTAGATTAATTAGCTGCAGTTGCTCATGATTATGATCACTATCGAGAAGAAATGAATTCCTTTACCATCAATTCTCATGTCAAGATGATAATATTATAATAATAATATAGGAAGTTATTATAGAGCAGCTTATACGCGATCGTACCTTCTTCACAGTAACGGTTGAACGTCGGTAATATTGGTTTAGCATCTCATATATAAAATGGCTGGATATAATGTGGAACAGCTCAGTATGTGACCTTCATATGACGTTATAAGAGTGAAATTGATGCATATCATTGAGGCATATCCTCATACGTCTAGGTTCTATGATGGATCGCTCTGATGTACCCAGGCGTCTAGAGGTCAATGCGTCCGCTTAGATGCTCAAAGCTCTCTGTACTTTAGTTCTCAGC